TAGTCAATGCAACAAGGCAGCAATTGTCATAGCTTTGTGTGTGTATGCCCTTAGAACGATGGTCCTGAACCTTGAATCCCCCACTGTCCTTGGACTACAACACCCAGAAATCCTGGCCAGCACAGCTAGTGGTGAAGGCTTCTGGGAGTTGTAGTCCAAGAACATCTGGGGGACCCAAGGTTGGGAACCACTAATTTGCAGCAAAAAGCAATTTTGTGAATGCAGCCATTCTGGGTCAGATGTGGGGAGGAAACACTATCTCCTCCTTAGAAAAAGAAGAGAAAGTTGCTTTCTCACTTAGCATCTGAGGCTGAACTAGGTCATGTTTTATAATCTTACCTGTTACCAGCTGGCTGCTGTATTTTCCTTGATGATGTGATTTTACATTGGTTTAAATAGGCCTTTAATTCTGTTTTAATCTTTGTGTTTTCTGGTTTTAATTGCACTGTTTAGTCAATATTACCATAACCCTCTTTGAACCCCAGTTGTGTGTTGTATTTTTTTTTTTTTTACGGAGGAAAGCAAGGCATAAATCCAACTGATGAATAAATAATACGAAGACACATTAGCAACGGGTACGGCAGATCTGTCTCTCGCTCTCAGGTGTGTATGCCTTTGTGTCTGTCTTTCTGTGAAGGCGGTGCAAAAATATCACATTGCAGGGGTGATCATTAATTAAATGTGTGCTTTAAAAAAAAGAACACCTCTCAGCCTCTAAAGTTAAGGGGAAACATTTCCAGCACATCTTGAATTTTTGGTATCTCCCCCTCCCCACTTTGTCTTGTTATTTATCAATGAAGGATGCTGTTATACACTTTCTCAGTCATACATCCAGGACATTTCATCAGCTGATACTACCTAGAGCCTGTCGTTTTAACCAGAAGCAAGGGAATTTTGCTCACATTGGGGAAATATCAAGGAAACAAACTAGCTATGCTTCAGGTGCTTACGGTGGGCTACATTTCCTTTTATTTTTTTTTAACTGCTGTTCCAAATCAACTTTCCAGTTTTGGATTATTGATTGATAGATTGATTTCTTAACTTTACATAGCACCCCGGTTAGTGCCATATGTGACTCCGGGCTGTTTACAGCCGGCTAAAAACACAAGAAAGATAAGTCAAATAAAAACAACAGAAACACTCACCCAACAGCGCCAAGAGGCAGAATCTGCAAAATAAAATGCGGTATGGGCCAATAAACAAGCATAGAACAGCTTAGACAGGATGGTCAAAAAGGCCTCTCTTTAAAACAGTGTTTAAGGTTGGTAGGGAGGGGGCCAGACACAGCTCCACCAACAGTGGGTTTCAAAGTGTTGGTGTCACAGCAAAGAAGGCCCTGCTTCTAGTGGATAATTTCCTGGCCTGTTTTGGAGTGGCAACCTGGAGGATTGTGGCCTGGGAGGACTAAGTGGAGCAAGTAGATGGCCTTGGGAAAGGACACTCCGATAGGTAACATGGTCCCAAACCATGAAGGGCTTTATAGGTGATCATCAAAACCTTGAATCTGACTGTGGATGTGACAGGTAACCAGCATGGGTGAATCATGACTGGGGAAATATGAATAACTGGAATGTCAAGATGCCATGTGCATCATCCGTCAGATTCTGACAAGACAGGTAGGGAGGGGGCCTGACACAGCTCCACCAACAGTGGGTTTCAAAGTGTTGGTGTCACAGCAAAGAAGGCCCTGCTTCTAGTGGATAATTTCCTGGCCTGTTTTGGAGTGGCAACCTGGAGGATTGTGGCCTGGGAGGACTAAGTGGAGCAAGTAGATGGCCTTGGGAAAGGACACTCCGATAGGTAACATGGTCCCAAACCATGAAGGGCTTTATAGGTGATCATCAAAACCTTGAATCTGACCGTGGATGTGACAGGTAAGCAGCATGGGTGAATCATGACTGGGGAAATATGAATAACTGGAATGTCAAGATGCCATGTGCATCATCCGTCAGATTCTGACAAGACAGCAGTGGTTGACTCAATGGTTGATAACACCACTGTTGGCTCATTAGGTAGAGACAGATAACAGCAATCAGATGGCAACATGCAAGTTCCGGTAAGTCTCCACCCCTAACCAGGCAGCTGTTTCTTACCAAGAGGCAGTGGTGCTGGAGGAGACTCTTGAGAGTCCCCTGGACTGCAAGAAGAACAAACCTATCCATTCTAAAGCTGGGAGCTTTCTTTCCAAAATTTTTTTTCAATAAAGGAATACAAGGAGGCATTTTCTCCTAGGTAAGGCATATCCATTCTAAAGGAAATCAACCCTGAGTGCTCACTGGAAGGACAGATCCTGAAGCTGAGGCTCCAATACTTTGGCCATCTCATGAGAAGAGAAGACTCCCTGGAAAAGACCCTGATGTTGGGAAAGCGTGATGGCAAGAGGAGAAGGGGGACGACAGAGGTTGAGATGGTTCGACAGGGTCATCGAAGCGACCAAGATGAATTTGACCCAACTCAGAGAGGCAGTGGAAGACAGGAGGGCCTGGTATGATGTGGTCCATGGGGTCACGATGAGTCGGACATGACTTAACGACTAAACAACAACAACATGAGGCAGGAATAAACTGGCTAAGAAGTGGTACCACCAGATAGAGACAGGGAGTTGGGAAGGGACAAGAGTGCCAGAGAAGCAGGGAGACACATTTCTTAAGTGGATATCCATCATCTTCAATTGGGGGAGTGGAAGGACGTAGGGGAGACTTCCAGAAAGCCAGTTGTCCAAGCTTCAAAAATGGAGAAGGTTTACTGTAACAGTGGTTCCCAACCGTGGGTCCCCAGATGTTCCTGCGAAAAATCCTGGCCAGCACAACTGAAGGTGACGGCTTCTGGGAATTGCAGTCCAAGAACATATAGGGATACCAAGGTTGGAAACCACTGTAAATTGCTTTCTTCTCATTCTGTCTCCTGGGCTAGCAAACATGGTCGAAGCCATAGTCTCAAGCCAGCCTTCTAGAGCTGTCCATAGTGCTGAAATGTGGCAACTTTATGTAGGGCTTCTTCCACCCACAGCTTTTATGGGAAAGATGGGTAAAAATCCTTCCCGGTGAGTCACATGGGGTTCTATTTAAGGGATGAGTACCTCTCATTGTGGCTAATCATGACACCAAGGAAGCCACTGAAACAGAATAAAGCAACAGCAGAACATTTGTGTAAGACAATAAGCAATAAACGACATAGCTGTAAATAACAGAATGCCACCACAAGAGATAGCAGAACAAGCAGCAGAAATATGGAAATGAGTGGATTTTCCCCCATTCCATTCATTTATTTATTGTTCCCCTTGCTCTGTTGGCCTCGTGTTTAAGTCATTGTGGATGCTGGTTTTAGCAAACGAAATGGCCAGCGTTGATTCCTGAACTGGGCTCATGAACATAGCATAGGCTTCTGATAGATCTCCCACCTACTTTTCACAAATCAATCTAGAACGGGAATGGGGAAATGTGCGGTTCTCCAAACATCTGGACTTCATCTCCTACCAGATGTAACTGGAACGGCCAATGGGGAGGATGTTTACCAACTCTGGAAGGCTACTCGGTCTTATTCTTCCTCTCGGAGGCCATCTTGATGGGCACCATCTGGATCCTCGTTGCCTCGTGTGCCTTCTGCACATCAATCTCTAGGTAGGTGGTACATATCAAAGCAAAATCCACATGAATGCCAGTGTAAAATAGTGGGTTCAGATGTGATGACTTCAGCATAGCTCTTTATTTGCAGGAGACACCACACACTGCATAACTCCCTGCAAGCTGCCATATATATACTCAAACCTTCCCCAGACACACACACACATATTCAATCAATCAATCACCATACCCAACCATTAAAAATTTCCTTGGCCCATTGCTAGTCTATAGGAGTAACCCAATTGACCTGCTCAGCAAGCACAGCCAATGTGGGTACAGCTGCAAGCAGCCTATCCAGCAAAGGATCTTCATCAGAAGCTCCCAATACATTACAGCCAGGACTCAAGGTTTCCCAGCAGAACATTGCCAAGAGCAAAAACACTGCCTCCATGAGCCATCCTTCTTCCCATCATGCATTCACCAGTTCACTAGATGTCCTTCTGTGCACTACTTTTGGTAGGTATTAACCACTGCATACCAGGAACACCTCACAAGACTTACTGTTTGGGAGAAGTTCTTACCTAGTTGTCTAGCCCAGTGATCCCCAACCTTGGGCCTCCAGATGTTCTTGGACTTCAACTCCCAGAAATCCTGGCCAGTAGAGGTGGTGGTGAAGGCTTCTGGGAGTTA